TTTTAAAAATAATCAGAAAGGTGAACTGAAATGTTTGTTAAATACAACACAGTATCTCGACTTTTCCCCTAATTGATCTAAACTTCCTGTGGCTTCCTTCCTTAAGGAGGGTCTCTCAGTCCCTTCCTACCCTGCAGCCCCTCCCTCCATTAGTCAATTCTCTTTGAGATTACATCACTAACAATTTTTTACAGACCCAACAATACCCTTCAAGTTTTTCTCTCTCCTCCCCCTCCCCCTCCAAATAAACAAAAAAGGTAGGTAGGGAGTAATGGCTTAACAAAGGCAAGTCAAACTGGGGTGAGCTGAGTAGTGAAGCCAGAGCCAAGTCCTACAAGCAGGAGGGAGGGGAATAAAAACCAATCAGGAAAGGGCATCCGAATGCTGGGAGGCCACAGCCACTGCCCAGAACCCTAGTGACACTGCACTGGGAATGTTCTGGGCAGCAGTTCACTTTCCAGTGAGTGAACAGAGGAAGGAAATGCCACAGAGAACTAAAGCGTTTCTAGAACTCTCAGTGTACAAGGACAACGCTACAGTCACTGCACACACAGACCTCCTTGCTTTGTGCAATTACGTGACTAGAACCCATCTTCAACATGTGTCATCCAAGGGTCTATGAGTGTGTTGAGCTTACCTTCCCAATAAAATAACAAAGAAATAAAAAATAAACAAAACAAAACAAAACAAAATAAAATAAAGGTGACAGATTTTAAAAACTCATTTTAGGAGAGAGGCTCTGGGGCCGCAGTGTTCTCCACCCGCCCTGCCCTGCCCTGTTGGAGGTGGGCACCCGCCCCCCGCAAGCGCTCTCCTCCTCCTCCTCCTGAGGGGCCCTCCAGGAGATGCTCCCTCGTGACACTGAGCGCCCTGGCCCATAAGCTCTCAACCTGACTGAAGGACCTCCCCTTATGAGCCAGTGTTAGAAGAAAAGTTATAAATGACACTGAGATGACAAGCCTTCCCCATCCTGCAAGACTCTCCTCACTGGGGTCTGCTCATCCCTCCCCTCCCCACTTAATGCTAAACTGTGCTCAGGTCTCCTTCAGTAACAAAGCCTGCTGTTTGCAGAATTAAGCAAAATGTTATTTGAAAAAAGACCCCTTGGTGCAGGATCTAAGCTCTCACAATTCAGAAATGCCACAGAACCAAACTTCAACAATTGTTTGTCCAGGACCTTTACAAACCATACTAAGAACTACCCGTATAAAGAATAGTTATGATGAAGCCACCTCTGTCCCCATCCTATAACCCACCTTCAGGGCGGCAGGGTGCAGGCACCTATGTAGGATGCAGCCTGTTGGGAAAGGGGGGAAACCCCCTCAAAATTTTTCTTGGAAAAGAGATGAGATTTATTCTTTAGAAGAATGTCAATATAAGGATTTAACAAATGTGGCCAGACCAGTGGTAATGCAATATGCTCAGATAAGTAGCTAAGTGAACTTACATTACAGCACAAAATTAAAACAAGATAATGCAAAAAGAAAAAGTAACTTGGCTCCACACAATCATCTCTATTGATTTACCTTATGAGATATATCAGTATTTACTGCCTTTAGGCTTCTTGAAATTGTGAACAAATAATACACAGATCAGGATAAATGTATTGACTTACTACCATCTTTATAAAAATCAAATGTATACACAAACACGTCAACATCATGGAACTGTATCCATTAAACTCTGATAAGACAACACAAAAGAACAAGTAGCTAGATGGTGCTGAGTTGAAAGCATTTCCAATAACATTTTAATTTTAAAAGGTACGTATTTACATAGTATGCCAAATGCTTTTGCATCTCATTTTAAATGCATAATAAAGAACAAAGATAATGGTTGCAGCAGATCTTCCACGAGGGTTCAGCTTTCAGCTTACGAGATCTGACTTCACTCTAAGAAGTGCACCAAAAATAAAAAGCATTACTTTCTAGTTCTGCTTCTTTCTTTTCTGTAGTTTCCTTGAAGGACACTGACCTTTCATTACTGGGGTGGCCTGGCACTGTAAGTCCATTTCAATGGTCGTGTGTAATTTAAGAGCAGCCAAACTGTGTTTGGCCGTTCTACCAGGTGCTTTACGATAGGCCGGGCTGTGCCGATCATCTTTCATTGACTAGAGAAGGCTTGCTTTTGTGCGTGTATGGACAGTTACAGACACACACACACATCCCTGGGTGCCTGTGTCGTACTCAGACAACACCAAAAGCAGACCTGACAGTGGTTGTGAAGTCTGTCTTGAACAATGGTGCCCAAACATGACTAATTCTGTTAACACTAACTAGAAAATAGTATGTTTCAATGCCTACTTTTCAGAGACAACAGCAGATTTTTTGGTTTTAAAACCACAGCACACTCAGACTACCTCAGAAAGTGATAAAAATTTGTTAATCATCTCATTGCATCAAAAAGTCCTCGATAATAAAATAAGTCAGTGAGCCTTCCCATTGCCCAGTGGTACTGCGTGGTTTGGATCTTCTCTTAATCAGAGCTCATGGACTAACAAAGTCATCACTCCAACACAGCTCCCTGTGGACTGAGACAGATAAGCCACACTTTTAAATACACAAACACATTTGTCTCTAAAAGAAGAAATTAGCGGGCAGTGACAGCCGTGTGAACCTGCAGACAGGCACACAGACCTGTCACCTGGACACCCTCCTGCGGGCATCGTGAGGCAAGGCTGACCTACGACCCCACATTCGGTGGGTTGGAGCAGGGGTGGTGGCACTATAGCTGCAGGGCTCTAGCACATACTCAAAGTGCCACTGTTTCCTGGGACCCACTGTTCAACAATGCCCTGCAGTGTTACTCTTAAGCACACAACGTCATTTTAGAGTTAAAGCTACAGAAAGGCTCACAGAGCCTGGAAAGGCCTCCTTCAGTTTTTAATATTGTTTTGGTAACTGAATTTGAAAAAGTCATATAAAATGTCACCGTGGAAATAGATGATTCAAGTCTCATACCCATCTCCTTAGCCCCTTCCTTAGAGAAGCTAACAAGGACTAGGGTTCGCTCCCTCCAGAGGCATAAGTGATAACAGGCTTCTATTTTCCTTAATTCTATTAGTAAATGTTACATGAAATCGTAGGTATAAAATACAGCTAAAAAGTCTGAGTATGCCCTAGTATTATTTGCTCAAATAGTTGAGGTCCACTTTAGAATATATCCAAAACAGTGAAACTCTTTCATGAGCAGAAATACAGTAAGGCACTTTTCCAGTGTTTGCCCAGAACAGGTAGCTTTCATGGAGCATTAAGCCTCACCTAAAGGAACCTACCAGAACTAGAAAATACGGTTTCAACAATGACACAAGACACATTGTGTTTTGTGTTATGCTGTCCCTGAAAGACAGTCATCCTCACACCATACTCCATGGGCCACGGCACGCCAGGATGAATAATTTCTGCTTAAGGACAGGGTAGTTCCTGCTCCAGTGGCCTTCAAAAACAGGAGGCAATCAAAGTAATGACCACCAGGTTCCCATAGCACGTCAGATATAGCCAGTGACATTAATATGCCACCTCGGGCTGCATTTAAAAACGGGAAAAAAACAAGATTGGTCTGTTCCACCTTCAAGCTGTTCCTCCACCTCAGGCGGTGGGAATGAGGTCAGAGGGCTGCCACTGAGGCATCACAGACCCCTGCTCTAAGCCGAGGCCGTGCCATGGGCTTGTCCAGCATGCCTGCCTTGTTTGGGAAAGGAGTAGGTATGTTTACCCTGAAACTAGGAACACCCAATTGGTGCTTTTGAGATAGTGACAAGAAGCAGAATCCGCCGTTCAATCGGCACCACTCCCAACCACCCACTCATACCCTGGCTTTCCAGGATATGCAAACGTCAATCAATAATCACCCGAATTTTAATCTATGCTTTTACAAGAGCCTTTTGAGGGCTTTCTGAGAAGATGACTCAAGTTAAGCTTGGTTGAGAAAACTCTTTTCCTAGCCTGCACTGAAGATAAGTGCAACCATTATCAAATATTCTTTGCTGTGAAAAATACTTAGAATTTGTGATGTTAATGTTCTTTCCTGAATCTAAGTCACTGTGATCGATCATACAGTCAGATCATGAAGAACGATGTCTACATGCATTGCAAGAACTTTGAAAACAAAAGAAAATGAGAAACTTGGAGTTCATGGTGGTGGCAACAGAACCTGAAGCAATCTAATACCAACTCCAGCCTGCTGCTCCTCTAAGTCCAGCTCTTCTGGGATCAACCCTGTGGCTGGCTGGCGCTTGGACAACAGTTAGCAAGCCTGCAGCCGGAGAGACTTCCACTCCTGGGGATTCTATGGCCAGTCGGAGCTTCCTTGAAGAATTCCAAAGTGTATTCACAGCAGATGTCTGGCTCTCCCTTGAGGAGTCACTCCACAATCAGGGCCACATTTATGTGTGACAAATCTATCATATGCCTGGGAACATTTAAAGAAAACTCAATGTAAACTCTGAACATCAACCGTCAACTTACCAAGGTGGGAGGAAACTAAAGGGCAATTCTTGACTGACAAAAGGATGCACATCTTATGAGAAGATCCTTGCCTGCTCTCTGTGTGTCCTGAGTACTTCTATGGTAACAGGTGGGCACACACA